GTAACCTGGTCATAAAAAGAGACTAGATTAGTCAGGCATGATCTGCCTGCTACGAACCCGTGCTGGTTTCCCCTCAGCATTATTTTTCCTGCCGGTCTCTCGCAAATGTGAGCCTTGATAATTTTTTCAAAGACTTTGCCAAGGATGGAGGTGAGACTGACTGGCCTATAGTTGCCTGGGTCCTCCTTCCTCCCCTTCTTGAAAATGGGGACCACATTGGCCCTTTTCCAGTCCTCCGGGACCTCGCCCATGCGCCATGAGTGTTCAAATATTCCCGCCAATGGCTGTGCTATGACGTCAGCCAGTGCCTTCAGCACCCTTGGATGGAGCTCATCCGGGCCTGCCGACTTAAATGCATCCAGTTCCTTCAAGTGCCTCTGCACAATCTCAGGGTCTACGCTTGGTAGTCTGGTGCCCTGCTGCTGCCTCTCTACAATCCCAGTGAGAGACTTGTCTTGCCCCTCGCTTAGGAACACTGAGGCAAAGAACTCATTGAGGAGTTCAGCCTTGTCCCCCCTGTCCGTCACCAATTGCTTATGCCCATGTAAGTGTAAGTTAATGTTGCTCTACTGAAATCCAGGGCACTACAGCAATTCACATTGTGGATCGGAGCATCCAAAGGCAGAACTGAGAGACAAACCCTCATCGACAAACCCTGTAACCTCTGGTGCCAAGAAGCAGAACAGGAGTGCAGAACACACTCCTGAAAAATTGTACCCAAGAAGTAACTCAAACAAGCTTCAGATCTGAGTGAGGACAGCACGTCCAGAGGAAACAAGCAGGTGGGCTGATATCACAACCATAGCAAGCCATGACTTCCAAGAAGGGAGAGGACAGCAGTTGTTATGACCCACGACTACAGCAGAGCGAAATGAAAAAGGAGGACATTTTCTTAATGGGGTGAGGGAGAGGGAAGGGATGGAGATAATTTACCTGACAACAAGTGTTTTCTATTGAGTCATAGGAAGGAATAAAAGGGAGGAAGTACAGATTTAAGGAAATGGGAGCATCTGCTTCTTGTTGGAATGGGAAATGTCCTTATCCCAAACAGACTTCATAAATAAAAGAGCTCAGATCTCATTGTGGTGATGGGCACCCCAGAAGATGTCTGCGAATGTGACTGCGTGCTACTACAGACACCCGAGTTGGCTCTCAGCTAGTTACCTGGAGTACTGGTAACAGTCTAGCACAGAACAACAACTACCTTTCCGGTGGACTTTTCTGCCTGCATTAGGTCCATTTTACCACAGCTAGACTGCTACTGCACCCCGCTAGCCTGGGTATATCTATAACACTGCAGTCACACCAGGGCTACCTTGTCAACCTCATCTAACGTGACTTATATAGCTGGGTTGCAGTGTATTTTATTCCTTATTGGGAGAGAAAATACCATAAACTATATTGATTTCAGCCAGCAGAAATCTTTTCTTGATGGACAGGTGGCTGGGAATGTCCTCTTGGACAGAGTGACTATACTCTGGTGTTAGCTGGCAGGCAACTGCTTTAAAAGATCCAAGGACTGTTCTTCATTAACTAGCAATAATAAGTTATTACACCTCTTTCAGGATCTTTTGGAGGACAGGAGTATAACTTCAGATAAACAGGCAGAGGTGTTTCCAGTTGTTAAATGATCTATATAAATATGGCTGGCTCTGGAAGTTGTTCTGCCACTGTTTCTCCTAACACTCACAAAATTCAGGGCTTACCTCAGACTCCAGAAGGATCCCAGCTCATCCCTTCACTACATGGCAAGCTGAGAGCACAGGTCTGCAGCACCCGAGCAAAATGCTGAATCCCAGCGGAGGGAGTTTCTCAGTGTGAGGCACAGAAGGGCTGGATTATTTGAACTGGAAGGTGTGGCCTGGCTTTTCTGCTCTGGTCAGTATATGCCTCTGCAGCAACTGCTGGAGAGGGATTGGATTTTTTCAATCACGTTTCTTACAATAGATCTTGTTCCTGTGATCAGCAAACTCAAAGAAAAGAACTTTGTACTTGCTGGAAGGGCAACTGTTACAACTAGACATCCAGGTACAGTGGTTCATGCTGAAAGGACGTGTCCTACTTATCTTCCTGTTCAGTGAAAATTGAACCTTAACCCTGAGAAAATAAAGGAAGCCTTTTTAAAATGACCCCTTTGTGGAGAAGGGAAAGCAATTCAATCAGCACAGCAATTCCAGACTAAGGTTTAGCAACAGGGCCTATAAACCAGGCCTTGTGACAGCTATCTGCACAGGTGTGAATAACATTAGTAAGACTGTTCCAAACCCTCAGTGTGTCAGCATCTAATGTAGTGCACTCAGGCTCACAGTAACTAAATCAGATGTGCTTAAGCTTGTCTATAAAGGTGCATCCCTACTCTGCCTTCTGCATAAGCCCTTGATCCATAGACTTGGGGTCAGAACTGTCAGAGGTGGAGATGAATCATTCTAGAACAGAATCAGCAAAAAAAGGATTTTTGAATTTCAGATTCCCCTCCCCCCCAAACAAAAACATTCTGCCAAATCAATTAATAATGGGTAATATTCAGCATTGCTAAATTTGCATTATTCACCTAAAAAAATGTTTTTTGGGGTTTCTTCTATTTTTTGTTGGTGGAGCGGGGGGGGGGGGGGCAGGGAGGACAGTTCTACTCCAGAGCATAAAATTCTGAGTTAACACAAGGCTCTTGATCCAAATGTGTGTTTTGTTATAAACAGACCCAGGGGCTTTTTAACTTGGAGGAGACCAACAAGTCACATTCCCTAGAAAGGCTTTAAGCACTCACCATGTACATTCCCATAGTTAATGGGTAATTTCAGCAGTATAACTCAGCTCAGACACTGCACTTGTCTGCAATGGTAGTCTTATTTTCTTACCCCATTCACTTATGGGCCGAGTTGAGCAAATTAAGGTTTGTCCAAGATCTCAAAGAGATTCAATTAGCCTAGGCCTTTTTCTTTAGTAAAGACTCTTCTCATTAAGAATTCGAAATTGAAGACACAGCCCAATCCTGCATTCAGCACTTCCACTGAAGTCCTTTGAAAGCTTTGCCTGGATAAAGGCTGCAGGACTGGGCCTCAGAGGAATTTACAGTACACAGGATAGGTTTGAGCTGGACTTGGAGGCAGGATTACAGCCCATGTTGACATAAGTGGGGAGCTGTGGTATAGCTAGCTCAGGTACTGAAAATACTGTAATGAAGTTTACTGCAGGCTAGCTGCCTGCTTGCTTGCCAAGGGTCCCAGGTCAGCTTGTCTACATGAAAGATTATTAAATAGGTGGTACTATCTTAACTATACCCACACACCTAAAAGGGTACAAAAGAGTTATCACATATATATGATTTAACCATGCAAGACTGTCTGGTGACCCCTAGATAAAATATATGATGGAGACCAAGAGAAACATCCCTTGTGAACTTTCTTCTCGCCTGATCAGAGGCAGAAAGCTCTGGGCAGATCTTCTGCTGGTGCAGCTCAACAAAGCCACATTGACTTGCATGTTCCATCAGCTGTTGATTCGACAATTGATTTTCAAGAGTACAGCACATTGCGATGTCCTGGTTTTCAGCAGCATATTCAAGTGAATAAATGTTTTGCATCTGGGAGACTACCTCTGAATATACTGAAAAACCTCTTGGGACACAATGGACTAAGGTTGTTAAAGAAGAAATCAAATGTGATTGAGTAACTCAATTATCACATCTCTTCCTTTCTGAAGAGATATTGCAGGCATAGGGTAGAGGTCTAAAACTGCAGTAAGATTACTGTAAGATGCAGAAATGTGTAGCATGACTGTTGAGTACATGTTTTCAATACAAAATCTCATGACTTCACCTTTTATTACTGCAAATAAGTTACCACTGAATCGGTTGGCCCATTAAACTAAGTAACAAAGGAAAAACAATACGGTGTTTGAGAAATTATTTCCGAGTTATTGCACAGTTCTTCCCCTCTGCTCTGTGTGCATGTGTAAAAGAATGTCTTTATTAAAAAAAGTGTTTTTGTGCGAGTGCACATGCACATTGTTATTTCAGTTTTAGTTGAGTAAGACTTGTCAATTAAGTGGAGCAGTCACAACCAACACAGAACCAAGAGCTAGAGGTTACCTCTAGACTGGATTATGATCATGGGTGGGTATAACTTGTTCAGAAAGGAAAGGCAAGGAATAAAGGAAGCAGTGTCACTTATTTTATTCAAGAAACATCCAGTTGTCTGGAGGTACAGAACAAAGAGGGAGGTAGACTTGCTGAAAGTTTTTGGGTTAAGGTAATGGAAGAAAACATCAAGAGTGATGTTCTGATAGGCCTCTACTATTGACCACCACACCAGGAAAGGAAATGGATGGGGTGTTGTGTTTTTTTTGTTTGTTTGTTTAAACTTACCACAGTACCCAAATTGCTTGATACGTGTGAGGAACTTTAATTACCATGCTATCTTCCAGGAGGGTAATAGTCAGCAAGCCATCCAAAAAGTTCTTGGATTGTGTTGGGGCCAGCTAAGGTACAGATAGTGGAAGAGTAGCTCTTCTTGATTTGCTTTTTACCAATAGGGAGGAATTGATTAAGAATTTCAGGCTAGAAGGCAACAAAGGCAGAGCAACAGAAGTAATTAGAGGCATGGAGAACAGGACCCATAAGAAAAGACTGAAAGAACTAGCATAAGTTTAGTCTGCTAAAAAGACAAGAGGCAATTTGATAAAAGTCTTCCAATACAAAAAGGACTGTTACAAAGAGGATAGTGATCAACTATACTCCATGTTTATGGAGGATAAGAAAAGCAGTAATAAGCTTAAAGTGCAATAGTAGATAAAGGTTGGATATTAGGAAGAATTTTCTATCACTGGGGATGGTTACACCCTGGACCCAATAATTTGGGTGGTTGTTGGCTGGAATGATTTAGACAGAGAGATTCCTATGTTGAACAAAGGATTGAACTAGATGGCCTGTAGAGGCCCCTTCCAGTTTTATGCTTCATGATTGCATTCAGTTAAATCCTGGATGTCAAACTCATTTGACACAGGATATTGTATTACAGTAACAGCAAGGGCCATAAAACAGCCTACGGTATGCCCCAGCCTCCATCCCCAGCAAACATTCTACAGAGGCAATAGAAACTATACACAAAGGGCATGATTCATTACTATGAATGTGCTAAGCTTCCTGGAAAGCTAGGTAGACAAAGTGGTTTTATACCATACCTTAAGGACTACCTAGGTTGTCTTCCCTTGTCTCTGGCTGCTTGAGGCCATGTGACAGAAGATATACTCAGGGCTGAGACTATGAACCTCCTGCTCTTACCTACAAGATATTTCATACAGCCTTTCACCAAAGTGATACTTCTACCTGAACCACCAGCAGCAAACTACTTGGTTTATATAGACAGCCAGTGTTTCAAAATGGCTGTGGCAATCAAGCACCTGCTGGCTGCTTGACTCAGCCCTTACAGTGGCAGGCACCACAAGTGCACTGCTACAGACCACTTCAGCCATCAGACAGTCCTCAGCCTGACCACTGAGCTGGGAGCTGCTGGGAACATAGTGTTGTTACAGGATTGGTATGACTATGTGGGGAAAGTCCTAGTAGCAGTTACAGGGCTTTATGGTCACAGTGACAGCAGATCAAAAGTATTAGGCCACATGAACAGGCCTTTATTTTTCAGCTGTCACCCTGAATTCCTCCAGCATCCACATTTGTGGGATAGGCTGAGAACTGGACAGCTCAGCACAAACATGTCAAAGGGAACTTTGTTCTCACTGTGGCAGTGCACTTGCGGTGCCTGCCGCTTTAAGGGCTGAGTCAAGCAGCCAGCAGGTGCTTGATTGCTGCAGCCATTTTAAAACACTGGCTGCCTATATAAGCACAGCAGTTTGCTCTTGGCAGTCTAGGTAGAAGCATTATTTGGCTGGAAGACTGTTTGAGGTATCTTGTAGATTGGTGTAGGAAGTTCTTGGTTCTAGGCATAACCTAAAATAGTATCCTGTTGGGGATAGGTCTAGTGGGGCTCCTAGAAATGCTAGGCTAGTTACTACCCTGGTGAAAAGTGGTTTGGGATGCTTTAATAACCCCAGCTTCCATGACTGGGTGGGTAGCCCTGTCATAGGGTCCAGGAAGGTGGACCCATGTAGGAGTGTTGGCTAGGTGCTCAGAAGCCTGACTTAAGGCACCCTTGACTAATCAATGTTGGGGTCAGGATCAGAAGGGTCAAAGAGCTAGGTGCCAACTGCAAAGGATGCCCAGAGCTGGGGGCCTGTGGTTCTGACTCCTCTTGGAGGTGAGGCCAGGGCTTGTGTGCCTAAAGGTCCTGGGGGGGCACACCTGAGAGCAAGAAGAGTGCAGGGAGTGAGGCAGCCCAGAATGAGGGTGGAGTAGGCTGCCTGATTGGAGGGATCCAGTTGGGGTCTGGACTAAAGGATTGCGGGGCTGGTGATGTTAAGAACTGATCCCATCTGCAAGGCACAGGCTGTAGCATAGGAGAGGCTTGGAGCTACAGATGGTACCCCCTGACATCAGGACATGTAATGGGCAGTCTGTTGTTCCCATAACCTGGTGGAAAATGCAGGGAAGTCATGGCAGGTGAGATGGGGCAGACTGCCCTATAGAGACAGGTGAGTGGGCCGGTATGAGACCTGGCTCCAAGTGCCCCTGTTGCACTTGGCAACAACCTTTTCTATTCCGTCCCCAGAAAGAAATACCAATGGCTGAACCTGCAGCATTGTTACTTCCCAATGGAGTTGCCAAAGATGTGTGCTGGTACTATTGGTTGGTGCCCTGCATATTATGACTTCAGTGGTAAATGGGCAGTGAACTGGCTGATTGCATTAAAAAATGGTCTCACACAGCTGCTTCGTTGAATGATGAGCGTTTCCTGTTGCAAAGGCTTCATAGCAGCAGACATGGAAACGGTATGCAAGCAATTGCTGCTTGATTAATGCATATGCTACACCTGTTTTAAAGTGACAATTACAGTATAAAAACCACAACAATTGCAGGGCTATACTGATTTACTTCAGCTGGAAATCTGGCTCTTCAGTTTAATTTTTCCTCTTATCTTCTCTCTTTCCCCCCCCCCCCCCCCCTTTCCATCCCTCCTTAAAAATAATTTTCTTTGGCTCCTTCAGAGCACAATATAATGAAAAGATTTCATTGGGGGTATATTATAACACTTACATTACACTCCCTGAGGGGACATCAGTCCTCCTTCAGGCCGTAAGATTCAGGTAATGACCCACAGCCAAAGTGGGTTTTCTTTTAATTTTCCATCCCTTGCAGACGGCTTCCTAATGGAAATTGATTCCTAGCAGTTTTTCTTTTCATTTTACATGCATGTCTAATGCCCTTATTTAGTTGCATCTTTGATTTGGCTAAAGGGGAGGAGGGGGCAGCATAGAAAGCATCTGGTTACAGACTGCTCTGATGTAAAATACTGTGCTGATTAAAACTGTAGACCCATTCCTATCTATGCAGCCTGCTCTTTCTCCCTCACTCATGTGCACTGTTCCCTATAAAAGAAACACATGTTCAGAGCCAGATCCCTAACTGAAGTACAATAAATCCATACTGTCCTATTGACATCCATAGAGTTACTCCAATTTACACCAGCTGAGGAGCTGATAATTAATCTCTTTCATGAATACTATGGTGCACAAATACACCACCTTAAACACAGGTCTCAAATTTAGCACACTTGCATACAAACACACACTCTTGTTCACCCCAACAGTTCACAGCCAGATAGATGTGATCTGCACATGAGTGAACACTCAACATATACCCTGTCAAATACAATATGATACAATATGATCACAGCCATGCACACAAAGGCAAGGCTCTCCTCCCATGACCCACAGAGAGGTTTTCCCGGTGTGCCAAGCAGAGAGGTAGTTTCACATACTGCTGTGTATTTAGATTTGACAAACTGGATCAGCCTTCTTCATCCTGTTACACAAATACTAGCAGAAGAATTTTCTGTCACTGTTATTGCAGACTGGGCTCCATTGTGTAATCTAACTCTCACACATACATAGGCACACACGCCCCTTTCTTTGCTATTTAGGTATAACTTGGCCTGATAATTTCTTCAGTATGTGGAAGCAGCAGCAGAGATAGACGGTGGACTGAGGCAACCTTTAATTTATTTGTGTTTCCCTTGAAAGGGCAGGAGTTTAACTACGAGACGGTAAGTGAAGACTGCCAGTACCTATAGCTCTTTCTTGTTAGCTTCACCAACTGTTTCCAGTTCACATGTTACGATAGTGAGAAGACAATTATACCCCTTAGTTAATTCTGCTGGCTAGCAGCTTGTATTTACAAACAATGCCTCCCCTGCATTTTTTCTTTTTTCTTTTTTTGGCAGATCCCTAGTTGTCATGTCTTATTGTAGTGTGTGCCCTTTCATAGTTTTAAAGCAGGCTTGACCCCCTTGCTAAGTGCAAGATAGATTTTTCTGCTCCCAAAGATGCTTCAACAATGCCATAAGCTGTCTGGTTTTTTGTATAAGATAATGCCTCTCTGTATTTGTTCCTTATTAATGCATAGGTTGATCTGTAGTTCTGTTAGGCTAGCTTCCTAAAGATGAGTCTCTTCTTGCATGATGACAATAATAATTAATCTGGACTTCAGTGCAGTGTCCTTGATAGTCCTGGATAAAAATCCTAAACAGAAAAGGTCAGTTCCCTTCTTGTGATCTGTGTTTCTCCAGCAAGAGTAACTGGGGGGGGGGGAGGGTTCTGAAAAAAGATGTATTCTGAATCCCCTCTCCCTTACGTTGCCAAATACAGCCAACCTTCCTGAAGGCTTTCGCTCACACTCCTGCAGTGAGGCAGTGAGGAGAACATTGTTTTACTGCCAGGAAGAAAATCCCATATGCTGTCTCAGATGAATGCTATTTAATTTTTATTTATGAATAGATCTCAAGAGAGAGTTGAGATTGAACAAGGATGTATAACACTGTCTGCAAAGTAGAGAAGTACAGTGAGTACAGGGGACATGCAATGGACAGTACTACTACCTGTAAAATGTGGGACTAAAAGGTAAAGGAGACTGAGAAAGAGATTGAGACTAATCATCCTTTGGTCCTGTGCATACCTCAGGAAGAGAATCATTGTCTGGCCCTGAACAAGTTGATTGCTCTGTGCTTCACTTTATATAGCTGTGAAACAGGGATGATAATAATATCAGTGTGCATCCCAGGACAGCTGTAAGAATTAAATAATCTTCCAATTAAAAACGCTTTTTCAGTGCAGACTTCATTCACACTGTAAATCTATAGTGAGAGGTTAGCTGAAGCAAGAAAGGAAGGGGGTGTTCTGACAGACCGTGAGCCAGACCATTCCCATTACAAGTAGCATGCAGAAAATAGATAACAGTTCCACTGCCAGGTCTAGTGCTGCATGTGAGTTTTAGTGATCTCTGAAACTATGGCATATGGAAAACACTGAGAAAAGTAACTTCCGCCCCACTGTCTGATGATGGCTCTGTATACAGTCATGTTGGGTAAACCAAGTCCTAATTAAACTGCAGAGACCAGGGAAATACCTGTGCATGAGGGCAGAATGAGGAGGGGAAACATTTTTGTTAAGAAGATCAAAGGGAAAATATCAGTTCATTATAAGACATTATCATCCCTCTCTTACAGACAGGGAAATGGAAAGCATGGAAGGGTTAAACATCTTCATCAAGAGTCAGTGCCAGAGCTGGGGAGGACAGGCAAGGAATCCCAATTCTCAGTCCCCTATTCTAGCAACAAGGGTACTCCTTCACACAGTTTGATCTAATAAGAGGGAAGTTCCCCTCCCACATAGTAATACTTGGGACTTTTTACCTGAGGTTCATAAAGCATGTTGTGAAGGTGTGCTTATATAACCATCCCATTTGACAGATCAGAAAACAGAGACACAGAGAGATGAAGCAAATTGTCCAAGACCACGTGAGTCAGCAGCAGAGCTGGAAACGGAACCCTAGTTACCTAGCTATTCATTCTCTGCCTTAGCCACTATAAAGGGATGCTGAGTAATTTAACTAAGATAAAGACTTTAAAGTAAATATTGTCCATTGTCAATGATACTCAACTACTGCTTTTCAGTGACGAGACCAGGACGAACCAAAGCTTAGCTCCTGCCAGTCGGGAAGGATGTGGTCTCATGTTGTTGGCTTTTCCATCTTCCCTCATATCGGGGGATTTCTCGGCTGGTTCTTCAACCGCAATTCAGTGCCTACTTGGTATGAAAATCTGAAGAAACCCTCTTGGTGCCCACCCAACCAGATGTTCCCCATTGCTTGGACTCTCTTGTACACAGGAATGGGGTAAGATCCTGGGGTAAGAAGATTCTGTGTCCTAATCCTTCCCTGTTCCTCCAGCACTTCACCTCTAGGGGATATGCTACTTCATTGCTCTCTTTTGGGGATTTCCTTCTCCAGTACCAATGGGAAATGGAAAGGATGTTTTTTAGAGGCTGGACCCAGCACCCTACTGTGTCTTGAGCCCAGTTCAACCCGTTCAGTCCACTTAACACCTTTATGGCCAGGGACTTAATCTATTCTGGCTTTATGTTGCACTCTGGATCATGATGATTGGGCACATCTAACACTTTGCTCTATGGTGACATTGTTATTGAACCCTGCTTTAGTACTTGCTTTTGGAAGTACTAAAGCATGGCACAGTAAATGCCAGTACACCGTACATGCAGTGCATGGTTATTTTTAGCAGCTATTTCACTGTAGCAGCGTGCATGCTGCTATGGCGAAGTAGCTGCTGGTCACATGTAGACACCCATGGATGTGCCCTTAGAGTTGGGACTCAGATCAGGGCTACCTTGTGTTCTTACTACTGTAAGAGAGAGGCCCTGCCCTGAAGAGCAAGTAGTCTAAATATGCAAGACAACCTGTGCCTGTGAGATGTACCAGAGACACGAATGTGGCTGTCCCAGTGTCTCCCTGGTATAACCCTGTATAGGAGCCACTTGTGCCCAAGTGCAGTATGTTTGCATTGGGGTTTACATCAGTGCATTTACACTGATGCATCCTTGTTAAGACAAACCCCAGGAGCTGCCTTCAGCTGGGGGAGAATCCATGCTTGATACTACATTGTAGTCAGAGGATACTATGGAGCAGAAGTTGATGACTCCTGGTAGATTCATGCCTGATCCAACTGTATCAGGGAGAGGAGGCAAACGGGATATCAAAATATTAACTGGGATTTTCTCCTTCACAGCTATGGCTCGTTCCTGATTTGGAAAGATGTAGGTGGCTTCAACAGCAAAGCCATCATCCCACTAGGCCTCTTTGGGGCTCAGCTCGCTTTGAACTGGGCATGGCCTCCCTTGTTCTTTGGCATTCATAATCTCAGACTGGTAAGATAGCCATGTCTTTGCTCATTAGCTACAGGCTTGTGTTGCTTGTGTCCCAGCCAGCTGCCTGGGACCTTTAAGAGGGTCCACAACTAGCACCAGCAAGTACTACATCCTGTACTGAGTTTAAGGGGCAAGTCAGCAGCTGCAGGAAGCAGCCTTGCTCAGCTTCTCTTCATGTTGCGCCGGGTTCTAGCCTGTAGTATCAGTCCCTGAGTTGCATTTGTGCTTCAGATATTTGGCAGTAGCCAAAGAGGGTGGGAGATTATGGAGCTTCTGGCTTCTGCACCTTCCAGTTAAGAACCCACAGCTGGAGATAAACTTTTGGAGCGACACACCCTGGCCCAATGAGAGGCAGTGACAGTTGCTTCAAAGAGGACATGTTATTCATGTGCTTATCGGGCAGCAAAGTACTCTGCCATTAGAAGAGCCCAAGAGGGTGTGTCCTGGAGTAGGACAAGGTAGAGTGAAGCAGAGGATCAGCGCAGGGAGGAAGGGAGAGAGCCTCTTCTGTGACATTCATGTAGCAAACTATGCCAGGTATCCAGAAGCTGCTGATCATTAATCTGTTCTAGAAATGCCACCCCTTCTATTTCTCCTGCCCCGAGTGACTGCTAATTTGTCAATTACTTTGGGGAAGCAGAGTGGAGTCTCATGGAGTTAACTGATAGCTGGTGTAGGGGCTTGGGAGCTCATAGGATTATGGAGTAGGGCTCACATGTTTTCCTTTGGCATCACACTGCACAGCAAGGAGCCTGGCTTGCTGTAGGCTTCAGCTGCAAAGTTTAGATCCAGATCCAGTTGGTGCCAAAGCTGGAATTTTGGTTTAGCCAAAGGTCTTGAGTTAATCTGCAGTGCTTTGTGCCTCCTGCTGCTCATACTGTTCTCAGTAAGAGCTACTATTATGCTACATAGGGATGTGTGACCCCATAGAGCTAGTTTCCAGTGAAAAATGCTTCAATTATTGTCTTTTCTCTCTTGTCCAGGCTCTGCTGGACATCCTGTGCCTGGATGGCTTAGTGGTAGCTACCATGTACTCTTGGTACCCCATTAACAAGTTGGCAACAATGCTGATGGTGCCTTACCTGGCTTGGCTGGCCATGGCTACTTGTCTCACCTACGTCATCTGGATGGATAACCCTGAGAAGAAACCAAGAAAAAAAGAATAAGAGATGGGAGTTGTGCAAGTGAAGTCATTCTGTCATTCATCCTGAAGTGGGGAATCAAGATCTGATCACTTGAAGTCTATTAGTTTTCAGATAGTAGGCCTGTGCAAAGCAGCTAGTATTCACTTCGGATTCAGATTCAGCCGATTTAGGGGACAGTGATTCGATTTGGTGATTTAAATCACTGTCCTGATTCAATTCTGCTGAATCTGATTCGGAGATTTGGCTGCTGTTGAATCTCCGAATCAGCCAGGCCAGGCATCCCCTGCCCCTCTCCCAGCCCGGTACTGGCTCTCTCTGGCCGCCCCAGCTCCTGGCACTTGTTTAAAAAAAAAAAAAAAAAAGCCCAGCTCACCAGGTGCTGCTGGGTGGGGTGCAATGCCCACTGCCCCACGCTGCGTGGGGGGCTCTGCACAAGCTCCCTCGGCCCCCCTGTGGGTGCCCCGCCTGGGCCAGCTCCAGCCCTTTAAGAAAAAAAAAACCCAAACCCCCCTCTCCAGACTCACCGCTCCGGCCAGTGTGGGGGGGCGATCCCTGCTGCCCCCACCCCACTGCCCCACACCACGTGGGGGGCTCTGCATGAATTCCCCGAAGCCACTGCAAGACCTGTGAGTACCAGGGGTTTTCTCAGCTTTTTTTTTTTTTTGCTTTTTTTTTTTTAAAGGGCCAGAGCTGGCCTGGGTGGGACACCTGTTGTGGGGGTGGGGGGGGGCTCATGCAGAGCCCCCCATGCAACATGGGGCAGTGGGGGGCAGCAGGGATTGCCCCCCCTGCCTGGCTGCACCTGGTGAGCACCGGGGCTTTTTTTTAAGGTACTGAGCTGGGGTGGGTGGGGCAGCCATGGTGGGGGCTGGGAGAGCAGGGGCCTGGCAGGGGTCCCCCTGAGGTCCTCTCCCTCCTCCCTCACCCCTAGTACTTACCAGCTCCGAGCTGGCTGCAGCTCCTTGCTGCAGCCACTGGGGACTGCCCGAATCACTCGGAGAGCTTTGAATTGATTCAGACCTTTAAATTGGTCCCCCGATTCGATTTGGATTCAGAGATTTGGCAGCTGAATCACCACCAGAAGCTTGGCACAGCCCTATCAGATAGGCATGAGAATATCATATACCCTTTGTGAAGGGCAGGGAGGGAGAAGATTTTGCATAATGCAGGTGTGCATCCTTTTGAGTTAACGTTTGCTTTCACCTGAGAATTCCTGCTCTTCTCTCACTCTCCAGCAGTGCTTAGGGTTTGGGATTAATGCTACCAAATTAAACCTTTTGAGCCAAATTCAGATCTGTTGCATCTGTGTAAACTCACAGTAACTCCACTGAACTCAGTGGTGTCACTCTGGATTTATACTAGTGCAAAGGAGAATAGAATTGACTTTTATTCATTAAAAATGTCTTATCCCTAGATTAGACCAAAAGATAAAAACAAATCGGCTTCTTTCTATTCTTGCTATGTGTTTAATTTTTCTAGAATGCCTGAATGGGATTTTTTACTATTAGCCATTAACGTTTTTTACCTATTAGATAATGAGCAAGCAACTTACATATTTATTCTGCCAGTGCAGTGTAACCGGTCAGCTTAGTTTTCCTTGTATAGTCCATCTTGCTTCTGCGTTCTCATGCACTTAATACCATGCTGCAATCATTAGAAAACAAAGACCTGTACCAAAATGGAATAATTATATCTCCCATCCCCAAAAGCAGCACTCCCTGAGTAAAAGAAAAGCAAAACCAAAGCTGTTTTTTTTAACTGAAGTTTAAGAAAAAAATTCAGAATATTTCTATTGATATTGGGTGCTGTAAAACTTGGAAATCAGTCTACTTCTCCCTTATTTCTGGGCCTAAACTCCTGGACAGTACCTGGGATTCTCAAGGGCAGGAGCTGGGTGCTAAACTCCAACCGAGTAGAAGCTGGGTAATTGACTTATTTAAAAACCTAGAAAGTGTCATTCTAAGTCGTGTCACACTGGTATTTTCCCTGGGAAAAAGATGTAGAGGGCCCAATTCTGCAAAGACCTATTCATGCACAGGACCAGATTAACACTTTAGTAGGCCCTAGGCAAACACACTCGTGGGCCCCCAGCTGAAGATGAAATTTTTATTTTACTTTTTTCACTCAATAATTATGATATGTAAAATAAGCACAACTGGGCCCCTTCACTTAGGGCCCTAGGCACGTGCCTAGTCTGCCCATATATTAATCCGGCCCTGTTCATGCACTGGTAATGTGAGGGAGGATTTGCTTAGGAAGTTGCACCTAAAGTCGCATATAGTCACCAAGTAGTTGCTTAACTAATTTTGGCTTTGGGGAAAAATTACTCAAAGATTAAAAACAACAAAAAAACCCAAACAAAACCCAAAAAACTCCATTTCATATTCCAGAGGAATGGGAAGGTTCAAACCATGATTAAGGACCCACCTAACTCACAGCAAGAGAAAGCAATTTTTTGCGGCTTGGTTGTGGCAAAAAAGCCAATGCTGTGGTCATTTTGCAGTGGTCCTGCCCCTTGGCACTGATTGGAGGGATGATGGGCAGCCACCATCTTGACTGCTGGCTGTCTTCATGTGGCCCTGACTCCCAGCACCGGCTGGCATAGAGGCATGAGGAGGCAGATGCTATCTTGGCTACTGCCCTTCATGTGCCACCCTGCCAGCTGGTGCCTTTTCCTCCTGGGCAGGCTGTAAAACCAGGCTTCAGTGGCAGCAAGGACCACTGGCTCCCATTGGGAAGCCAGCGTTTTATTTTTTATTAATTTTTTTGGGGTTGATTTCTTGTGAAATTGCAGCCAATGCCATTTTCACAGTGATCGCAGAGATCACTGGTTTTCGTGGCTTCTGCGAAATCGTGATTTAAGTAGGTTCCTAACCATGATCCGTGCCAAGGTACTTCTTGAAGGACGGTCCATTGCAATCTCTGCCCTTCTCCTGTTCTGACCCTTCCTTCTGCTTGATCTAAGCCTTAAACTGAATGTATTTAGAGAGAGTACGTGCTACTCTTTTAATTAATGAAATAGAAGCAATGTATTAAATAGATGGAACTTTTTTGCTGGCAGCTGATTGTAAGGGTGTCCATAGGTGGTGAAGAGACTGTGGCTATTTTGGGTATTGTATTCTTAACTGCTAATGTAAAGAAACTCTAGCGGCTTTTAATAAAACCATGATGTCTTTGTCTTTAAAATAGTAGTATCTCTCTTGATTGTGGCACTGGGCTTGTAAAAGGGATAGAAAAGTTTTGTGGGATCCTGGCAAGAGCCCCAGACTTATTCACTGACTGCAGAGAAAAGGAGAAACAACAGCATTTCCAAAGAATCCACTGAACTTGGGCGAGGAAAAGCTCACTCCTCAGTAGGCCAGTTAGGGTGGATGGATTTCTGAGGTTTCAAGGCCAGTAGGAGACTAGACAGTCACCTTGCTGGGGTCACTTGACCCCCAGTTACCTTCCCTGCTTGGTGCAGGGGTCTGGACCTGATGATCTTCCGAGGTCCCTTCTGGCCTTACAATATGAATCTGAGTGGCCTCTGTGATCCTCCTACATAATACAAGCCAGAGACTTTCATCCAGAGATTCCTGAATCAAGATCAATGCTGGATTTCTTTGTGATTATTTATTCAGAGCTTTGCTGCAGACTAGTTCTCGTGGGGGGCAAAACCTCTGGTAGCAGATATACTCTTGAGTTAGTGTACAGATAACAAATGGGCATTTCCACAGGGAAGAAAAGAGGTGATATGACGACAGGACAGGATCCTCCTAAAAGCAATGGCTAGCAGTGGAAATGTCTCTGAAGGGATCATACTTTAGAGATAGTAAGG